TAGCCCTCTTTCGATCCTCAATTGTATACCTTAGTTTGAAGCCAGACAACTTTTTGCTAATATTGCTTCAGCACTATGCACATTAGGGAATAAAAATTATACCATCGTAATCCTTGTTTAACTCTCTATAAAAAACGTGGTTCAAAAAAATGGGACTTTTCCAAGAACTATTTTTAAAATATATCTCTTTATGACGAGATGGTTTATTTTGTGAGAATCAAAAATTTTTTGTAATTTTTTTTTCAAAAACTTATGTTAAGATATATTTGGTAAGGTGTTAAACATCGGGTTTTTACAAAAAGTAAATTTTTACTGCGTATCCCGATAGAATACCTATCCAGATATAATATTTGTATGGCAAGATTTTTCTTTAAGGCGACAAACGCCTAGAAATGGGCGTGGCAATTGCAGGACTCAAATTAGCAAACCGCAGATTTTATTGCGGATTTCGGCAGAATATCGCTTCGTTAACAATATTTGTTCCACAACTTTGTATGTACTTTCAGTCGAGCCGCTGAAGAAAATGTTTCTCTGCCAAGAGGCTTTAAATGGAGCTTTGAGTAGAAGCTCCTCTTAAACATCTCCTCGCCGAATTTAGTTTATCGGCTAATTGTGTTCGTGATTTCCATGAAAACTTTGATGCTTAACAATGGCGGAAATCATGGAAATTCTATAACTTTAGCATTTTAGAAAGCAAACAAAAATATTGAAATATGGGAGTAAACGAAATTTGGCATCGATGATGGTTGTCAGCAAGCGATAAGGACTGAAATTAAAACCTCACACAATCATAGTACAGCCACACAGTCATATAGCCCGTCGTTCAACATCCACATCGAAAAGGGGTGCAAATGTGAAAAATAGGAAGTAGAATCAATTGAACTTACCAATTATCGAATGCTGTTGGCGGAAGTGGAAGTGGAAGTTAGAGCTGAATAAGTTCGAAACTGTGTAAATATGTTTAGGCAGCCCAGAGAAGAGGGGTAAGAGACGGATTGTTTTCACAAACGGCAGTTCAATAAGTAGAGCATCTGAATTGGAGAAACTCTGTGTGCGGTTTTGGTGCCTTTTTGGTGGTTTTTTGTTTGGAAAGTAATTTTAAAAGGCGAAATGTGGAAGTAACTCTGATTGTTTATACATTGAACTAATATTAGATAAGTGCATTTGTGGTTCAATGCTGGAGTACCGAAGTGCAGTGGTAAAACTTTGTCTTAACAGTTATGCAAACATACCCAAAGGTACATACATACACACATATCGAGGTACCTATACATTAGTTCGGGTCGAAATTTTTTTCCTTTAATCCTTTTGTGATAGAGAAAAGATTGTGTTTTATGAGGTCAACTACAAACTTGTAAAATATTAAATTTGTATTTCAAGTACCAGAGCCCGCACATGGACAGATTTTTTTCTTCATTATTTCGTTGGTCTACATACAACAGCAGGTGTATTTTAAGGCGCTGATTTTGAATATACCTCCGTTTTGTCAAATTTTCTCTCCATTGCTAGTTATTGTGAATTTAGGAACATTCTCGGTATCTAAACTTCGCAAACCCATACTTTCCGTCACCGTAGGATAATTTGGTTTATGCAAACGAATATGGTAACTCACATGAAAAAGGAAATCATAATTAGATAGACTTATATGAATAAAAAGGTGTTTCTGTTAAAAAAAAATAAATTTTATTAAAATATTTTTGTTCGAGTCCGAAAGAACTACAACATGCCGTTATTATAACCATTCTTGGACATAAGCTGTAAATGTGGCCTTTAAATTATTAATCATTGCGTATGGATCGTGCATGTTATGTCACAGGTGTGGCGAAAGAATTAAATGTATTTTTGTTTTTTTTTCTAAGAAAAATTTTCTCCAATTGTATAAATAGCTTAAAAATATAAGGAAGATAATTCGAAGGAGTTAGTTTCAGCATAAAGTTTACTAAGTTACATCTTTGTGTTTCTCCTCTGTGCCACTTTGGTGACTTATCAAGTAATTTCGAAAAATTTTGTATGATAGATTACATCAAAAGTATTACACAATTTGCTAAAGGTGTGGTTCCACGTAATTTTATTAAGTGAGTGTAAGTATTTGAATTTAATATCGAACGATACGTAATCCCGAAGAAGTCACATTGACGCCAATTACCACCATTTCAGGAACTTCCTAAATCCGGTAGTAACCATAGCTATGGTCCTTTAAATATAATATAGACATACAAAAACCCAAAAAGTTTGAAATAATTCTCGGACTACTACTACTAAGTATGTAGTATGTCTGAGAAAAAATTATGTTTTGCATATTCTTTGCAAATATATTGACTACTTGAAGTCTTATTGAAATAATGACTTACTTTTTCTAAAATACTGATCTTTGCTTCAATTGCGCGGGCTGAATCTAGAATTTATTTTAAGCTTTTATGGTCAATTACTATTTTCTTAGACCTAAGACAGCAAAATATCACTATACCATCAAATGCCTTAATTAAAAATTTAATGGGTTACAAAACTGCATACTCAAAAAGATTCTAGGAAATCAGAATAAAAAGCTCAAAATTTGAATGAAGATTTGTTAAATTTGATTTGTATGGTTTTGGGTAAAGCATGAACCATATTTTTATTAAAAAAAAAAATTAAAACTAACTAAAAAACACCATGCACTGATCACTGTCCCCCACTGTATATACATATGTATGTAAGTACATATATATATCTAAATAACAGAGCCAAACGCCACACATTTTTACATACATCACCATTTATTTAGAAATAATAAAAAAGGGTGAGAAAATACCTTTTCACTGGTACCTCTTAAGTTTAAATGGATAAAGTATGGCTGAGTTATTAAATCAATCTTTGAAAAAAAGTTCAAAAGCAGCATCAAAAATTTTGTTACTATGATTCCGTTGAAATTTTTTTTAAATATTTAAAAAAAAAATGTTTAAGCTTAAATTGTTTTGTCATCTGATGTTATTTTTTCAAAAAATAATAATAAAAACTATATTTATGCATTTTAAAATCGGTCCAGCTCACGTACATAAATCTTAAAATATATATAATACATTTTATAATGCGTATGGAAAAACAGTACCGATTTCTTTTTTTATGGGGAGTGATGCAGTCTAATGTAGTACATACATACATATGTATGAATACATTCAATTTTCCTAATTGCATGAAAAGCTTAGTAGGCGTGAGTGTGTGTAGTGACTTTTGATTATTTGTCTTCTCTATTTGTGGCAGCTACCATGATACAAAAAAACAAGGTAGTTCCATTGTCACTTTTTCGTCGCCATATTAACAACCTGACAATTAAGCAGATTGTGACATTTCGTGCTACCATACCCAATATCTAAAATCCTTCAAATTTTCTTATTAATTTTTTGTCGATTTAAAAATATTTTGTTCTTACATGTACATTTTAAATTGTGTGAAAGCTGACAGTTTATAGAATTCAATAGCGACGAAAACAAAGGGGGGTTAAGTGGTTAAACCTTACCTAAGCCGATCATAAAACTTGCGACGCAATTTCAGCATATGCCTATGGGTCTTGGCGAGAATGTAATCCCTGAAGGTTTAGCTTAAAATGGTTCTCGGGATACACCCTGAAATCCTGTTACTTTCCAGAAGGTGTCGCGCCACAAGAATTTTAGTTTATTTGGCTTATACCGCTAGCTTTCAATGGCTTCGAGATCGTTTTCATATACCCTCATTTTTCATACCTCATACCTCTTTTTACCTCTATTCCAAGTTCTACGGTGGCACGCCGCATTTTCCAATAAATCCATACATATATCCATACAAAGTTCCGGGACTCTACCACAAATAATTCCAGAGATATGCACTATGAAAAATTCGA